AAAAAGCACAGATTGGATTAGTTGGATTCTTCCTGCGTAAGATAGGAAAGAAGACGACCAATGAAAGATTCTGCGAGTGATCATATCCACCAGACCTGTACAATCATTTGCTTTAAGTCTAGTAGAGACTAAGGGTACCCTCAGGTATTTGATAGGCAGTGATCCACACTCAAACCCAAACAAATCCTTGATGTCATTAGTGGTAGAGTTGTCCACTCCAGTAACAAAGAATGAACTTTTTGAATTGTTGATGCATAGACCCAAGAGATTAAAGAAAAGTCGAGAGCATTCTTAAGAGTTGAGATAGAGGCCAGGTCCCCATAAGAAAAAAACAACAGATCATCCGCAAAAATAAGATGAGAGATGTCCAACTTTTTGCATCTTGAGTGATATCTGAAAGCGGGATTGTCTGAGATGAACCTCTTAGTAATTGAGGAGAAAACTTCCATGGCAACCACAAATAATAGAGGAGAAATAGGATTGCCCCGCCTCAGTCCTTTGACTCCTTTGAAATGGCCATGAAACTCCCCATTAATGGATACCGTAAATGAGAGGGATGTGATACAGACACAAATCCAGTCAATAAAGGGCTTGGGGAAACCAAAAAGAGCGAGAGTGTCCAGTAGAAACTCCCATCCTACCGAATCAAATGCCTTTTTTAGATCCACCTTCAATGCACATCTAGGAGGAGTTAAATGTTTGTGATAACCATGCAACAGCTCTTGGGCCAAAAGCACACTATCCCCAATCTGTCTACCCTTTACAAAGGCATTCTGGCATGGGTCAATTAAGTAAGGGAGGGCTAGTTTTAGCTTATTTGCCAGTAACTTTGTAATACACTTATAGATGGTGTTGCAACAGGATATATGCCTAAAATCATTCATGGATGTAGGGGTAGGTGTTTTTGGAACCAAGGCAATATATGAGTTGTTGACCTCCTTAAGCAGCTTCCCATTGAGGAAGAAGGTTCTGATAGCATTTATAACATCCCTGCCAACCATAGGCATGCCTTATGTCAGACTATACCTTCCTTGCTCCTGGACTCCCTGAATACTAGGGTTTTGTGTACATAATAAATGGCACCAAATTGTTATTGCTATGTGCTTAATTACAAGCTTTGTGAGCAAAGTTGTGATCATTAGGTGAATTATGTGATATAAATGTTTATGTGGATGTTTATTGCCAAGTTCATGTTATTATTGCCTTAGTGATCATATGTTGACATGTTAGAGAAATTATGTTATTGTCAAATGCCATGTATAATGCTTAAAAGTTGATACTTAAATTGTCAAGTTCATATGAAGTTGGAATTTTTAACTATGAATGATTAAGAATGACTATTGAAGTCTGCTTTACATTGTAAGCATCACATGGTTGGCATTGCATTATCATTAGACGCTGGGTGTGTGGTGGGGAAAGTGTGGGATATGAATGATGAATTTTGAAGAAGTTTTGGTGAAAGGTTTTTTCTAAACACGGTAGTTGGGAAGGTACCCCTTTGCCAACGGTGTTAGCTAGTTAATAGGGACACGAGAGGTACCCGTGAGTAATTTAACGACCTCGGGCCCCAAATGGTAGTTGGGAGTCACCATTTGATAGGAACGACTAGCAAATTCTCCCTAGGGACGGCAGAGGTACCAAAGTCCGTCTAGTTAGTACATTTTCCGCCGGGGGGGAGGGGGGGTATGCGTGTGTGTGGATACGTGAGGGTGTGTGTGTGGTCTGCATTGCATCACTTCAAACGGTTGATGGTAAATTAATTATTATTTGTTGATGATGTGTAATCCCGGTATGTCCCTTATTCTCCTACTCTATTCATTGATGTGTCTAAGCATGTGTTTCGTCTACTTAACTTTAGGAGATGCCATTTACCCAATCTATACTGGGCCTTGTGCTCATTCCTCTACCATTTTCAAGTTACAAAAAGGAGGTGGTGGATGATATCCCCCCACAAGCTTAGACGGGATTAGAAGGAGCATTTGATTTCTTCTATAATCAATGTAATATTTAATGTTTTGAAGAATTGTAATGCACATGTATCTATTTTGCCACAAGTTGGTATATGACCGGTTCATGTATTTGTTTCAAGGATGGAAATAGTTTTGAGATCGTTTTATAATCTTTGTGGTCTCATTAGGATTTCTAATCCCTTGTAAGGCCTTGTGGCCATGTTGTGATGTAACCGGATTGTTTTGATCAAGTATGATATATTAAACTCGTTATATGTTTATATCTATTGTATGTATGTCAATTTGTGGTCGTGTTATAGTAAATGCATGTTTTTGGGATAGGTTTACATCATATTTAAGCTTGCAAATGGACTAACGAGGGTGCAATGACTCAGGACTCAAAATCAGGCCTTAAAGGCCATTCCTGCAGAGATCCGGTCGACGTGAGGAAGCCTACACGTCGACCGGTATCTCCTTTTCTGGGCAGTAGCCAATTCCAAGGTGCAGACTCAAATCGGTCGACGTCTAGGCCCAGATGTCATCAATTTGCGTGAACTGGTCGACGTGTACCCTGCACACATCGACTGATTCCTGTTGTCCCTCTATTTTTTATTTCTTTCCTTTCTTGTCCAATTCCGACTCATTCAATGATGTTATTGTGTACTATAAAAAATAATATGATGTAATTATTATATTTTGATATTAGAAATGACTATAATGCCCTTAGATGACCTTAGGTTCGGTTAAGGACTCGGATAATGATTTGAACTCCCAGGTTTGGGTCGTTACACAAACCTTAACCTCTCTCTCAATTTCACTATCGCCCTCGTCCTCAACCACCTAGTCCACCCCTTTCTTAATGTCGCCGTCGCGATTTCACCACCCAGTGAACTTGTTATTGCTGTCATCGTCGCCGTCACCACCATCGTTACCACTGTGAACCTACCGCCATTACTATCTCCATTTCTAGCAGCGCCTCCATCTCCGGTGCCGTGCTCTAACCCTGAACCTCGACCAAGGCACTGTAATTTCAGCTATGGTGGGAAATATCACCAAGAAACTGTGAGTATGGAGATTTTGTGGTAACGGTAGACATGGTGGTGGTGGTTTGGGGTTGAAGATGGAAGTGGGTGTTAGTGGTGGTTCATTCTCTGGAATAGGGGTTCAATTTGGTGGTGGTTTCAATTTGCTGATTTAGAGGTTTGTTTTGCTGTTATATTGTATCAGTCAAACAAAAATAAAATAAAAATAAATTTAGGGTTTATTAGGAAGTTTTGATTTTCTTATAAATTTATAATCATAAAGGACAGTTTTGTCATTTTTTATTTTCTGGAATGGCGCGTGATCGACACACCCTTATTCAACGGTGAGAAACTGTCGGAACTTCGTTGGTGGGTATTTTTTGCAAAAAAATTGATAGTTCAGGGGTTAACTGTAAAAAAAAATGTTTAGGAAATTTATTATACTTTACTCTATCTTATAACATTTTATAAAAGAGTTATGATAATAATTTAATTTTTAGGGTAAAGTACAATCACACTCCCTAAGGTTTGACAAAAGAACACACACATAAAAGTTACTCATTTTTTATATAATGACACCCCTTTCTGAAATTTCATCCAAACAAGGGCTTAAATAATATGAAAAGACAAAATTACCCCTCCATATTCAATTCAGATATATTATAAAATATCAGACTTTACAAAATGACGTAATAGTCCTTATTCATTTTTCTTTTCTTCCCTTCCAATCATACCATCTATGCCTCTCTCTCTATAAGTGTTACATATATATATATATAAACACACACATATATATCTATACACACTTTGGTCGTATCTTCTTCATTCACTACCAAATAGTCAAATATGTCGCATCATCTACTCCAAGCCTTGGAGCTACAACGTCGCCTGCTGCTATATCGTAAGGAAATTTAGTATAATCTTTTAACCGAGCACTCAAAAGTCAATCCCCCAATTCTTAGAGTTATATTATACACAGTACAACACCACCACCAACATCGGCGGGGCACGCGCAGGGGTCGTCGAACGCCGTCGCCACCACACCTCAGCCTCCACTGCCGCCGCCACACCTACCCACACTACTTTTTGTGGCGCATCCCCCAAAGACTCCGATCCCTCCTCTACTGCCAGAACAAGGTTTGTATTCGTAGCTAGATCAAGGTCAATGTCTGTATTGCTCTCCTCATCTCCGGCGTCGGTGTCAGAAGATCAGCGGTAGTTTTGCCGTCGTCTTGGAACGAGTTATGAGCACTGAGCTGGATAAAGAACGAGGAGTGAACGAGTCGACTCAGTCGGAGAAGGGAGAGATGAGAGAGAGAGGGGCTGTGCAAAATCTGGGTTTAAGGGAGAGGCTGTGGACTTGGTGGTGGGTTTAAGAGGCGATGATTGGGTGGGTGGTGGCGGCGATTGATGATTGGGATTGTGTGGGTGGTGGCGGCGACGGTGACTGGTGATGGGCTGGGATTAGGATTGTGTGGGTTTTGGCGGTGGCGGCGATTATGTAGCGTATGTATATATATACATACATCATACAAAGAGAAAGAATGAAAGGGTTGGAAAAAGAAAAAAAGAAAAAGAAAAAGAAAAAAAAAACTCGAAAGAAAGAAGAAGGATTTGGGTTTTGGATTTGATCCAAGAATATTTAAGGTAATTAAAATATTAATTTTATATCAAAGGGTAATAAAGTTAATTTATCATTGTTGGAGTCTTTTTGTTCATTTTTTAAACTTGAAGGAGTGTCTTTGTCCAAAAAATGACTAACTTATAGTTGTGTGTCTTTTTTTCAAATCTCAGAGGGTGTGGTTGTATTTTATCCTAATTTATATATATATATATATATATATATATATATATTTTTTTTTTTTCACTCCAGTATCTTTTGGATATTATTTTCTTTCTTTTCTTTCTATCATAATTTATTCCAGCGTAAATAAAGATTATTACAATATCAAACAGCCCATTAGATTTTTAAAGACCCCGTTGAAGGAAATTCTCAAAACACCCCTTCCCGTTTTCGACAAATATATTTCCAATAGAGCAAATAGATCAAAGTTGAGTGACAAAATTCGAGGACTGAGTGATGAGCAATAATCGATCGTTAGAGTCTCTTCCACCAACACAAACCCTAGAAATAGAGAACAGCCTCTCTCTCGTCCCTCGCCTGAAACTCCTCCTCACCGTCCACCGCGCCGACCACTCCGTCAAGCCCATCGACGAGTGGCAGCTCAAGCGATCCCTCATCGACTTCCTCAGAACCTCCTTCTCCGTCACCGTCCCCGAAGACGACCTCCATATCAACCGCTTCAAGGACCTCAACAAACGCAAGCGCGAAGAGCCCATCGCGGATGGCTCTCTCTTCATTTACGACCTAGGGTTTCTTTCCAAGCGCTCCTCCTACGACGACGGAGACGATGTCAAGGTTTTGGAGAAGAAGTTATCGGATTGGAGGAGATCGGTGGTTGAGAAGATGGATGGGATCGAGTTGAATCTTGAAGGGGTTAGGTTTCGGCTCACTGTGGCTGTTCCACCGTCGGATGATTTCGATGGAATGAGGAAGGAATGGGAAGAGCTCTCTGCATTTGGCGGTAGAGGTTTGTGTTTAGGATGATTTTGGGCTCTCCCTCATTTCACTTGTATGTTTGTGTGTGTTTTTTTAGTTGTTTATTGTTTGTAGGGTATTCAAGGGATAGGAAGCAGCAACCAGATACTGTTGTGTTGAGAGGTGTTCCGTCACGGTGGTTTGCTGAGCCACGAGTTTCATCCAAACCTTCGATGCTGGTTACTCATACAATTTTTTCCACATTTGGGAAGATACGGTGTGTGAGACTAGTTTGGTTTGAATGTATTTGCATTTATTTATTCATTGATGCTTTGTAATTGTTTGGATTTGATTCTATATTACATCAAAAAATTCCTAGTGGAACTATTCATGTTTTAGGATTTTTCTAGAAAAAATGATTTGCCTAGAACTTTGATGCATACTTAATTTGATATTATCGTTATTACTTGCACTTCAGCAATAAGGTGTTTCAGCATGGGAAATTAGATGGTGCTAGGCAACACTAAAAGCGAGTCAAACATTGGCACTATGGCACCATTCTAAATGCACTTTGGCACCTCATCAAGTGGAAATTTTCTCATTTGATGTATGATCATAGAATTAAGAACCCTATTCGCTGTAGCATTCTTGGAGATGTTAAACACAATTTCACCATGGCACTAATGGAGATTGGTTTATCATAGGGATGTCAATAGGGTGGGTTTACCGTAACCCTACCTTGCCCTATGTGTCAACCCTGAACTCCATCCCCATCCCGAACCTGGGACGGGTTATTACTCAAAATACCACCCTCGCTTCGTGAACAGAATTCACACCCCAACCCTGCTTGTCCATACCCGCTAGTTTGAAAATTTGAGAGAGAGAGAGGAGCCATCAAATTTTAATCGAGAGCGAAAATGTACATATAAGAGCGAAAATGTACATATATCTGTATTTTGTGTATGTATGTATATATATGTATATAAATTACAGAGATCTGTATGATATATACACTCACATAAAATCTAAAACATAAACCCTATAGGTGTGTAGACAGAGAGGGAAAAGAGAGCTGGCTTATCGTCACCAGACTGCTGAAGAAGAAGCAATCAAACCTTTTCTCTGTGATAGTGTTGATTTGGGTCTATTTGAGAGCAATTCATCCATCCATTATCATCCATTGCCATTGCCTATCGTCCTTAATATTATTCATGTGAGAGAAAGTGAGTAGAAAGAGAACGTTGTCAGCAGTGGAGGAGGTGCATTATTACTGTGCCAAGGGATGGGAGACTGGGAGTGAAGTATGCTGATAGATACGGCTGCTTAGCGATGAATGTGAAAGGAGATAAAAGATAGAAACCCTTGGATTTTGAAAGAGATATATTACTGTAATACCTAAAGAGCATTTAAGGAATATAATAAATAAGGGTATAATTGAGGCAGGGTAGCTATATATCCTTTCCCACCCAGAACCCGACTGGGGTTTAATTCATTTACTTCATATCCACTCCTAATCCATTTAAAACACACACCATATCCGTTCCATTAGGGGTGGGGTGATGCAAGAACCCGCCGGGGTTGGGCAAATTGCCACCCCTAGTTGATGATGCATTTGTTAGGTGGATTTATGCTTTTTTCCCAAAATTAAACATATTTTCTGGGTGGGATTTCAGTTTGATTTCGATTTGGGTGAAATCCATCGACAAGTATTAATCTTAAAGTTCTAGGTGTTGGCTTATGGGGGTTAGCATCATCCTGTTATTCGAGGTGCCCCCTATTGACCCTGGGGTAGCGTAGGGAGGACTAACCACCTCTAGCCATCAGTGAAGTTACGTGCTATTTTTATTTTGTAGTGTTAGGATTTCATAAAATGCCTATAAGATTTTATAACATTGAGGAGGGGTGGTCAATTGCTCAAGTTAAACCCTAAACAAATTGTTGAAAAAGATACCAAGACTAAGGATTTGTGAATAAGAGAAGAATATAGTATATGTCAAATCATCTCTTATTGTTACAACACATGTATATATAGGTATAGAGAAATTATGGACAACTCATAATTAACTATCATAACATCATGGAAAGTATGTGGACAACTCATAATTAACTATCTCCACACTCCCTCTCACGCTTGAGAGTAGATGTCAATGACTCCCAACTTACTACATATAGATACAATTGTATATACTTTGGAGGCGCCTTTCTGAAGATGTGTGCTCCCCGGGAAGGAACAAATGGAGCAACTATCTCATTCGAAGTGATTTTGGAACATATGAAATGACAATCAACAACGATATGCATGGTTTTTTCATGAAAGACTGGATTACTAGGAATGTGGGTGGCTACTTGATTATCACAGGGGGGAATTGGGTATTGTACTGAAATTCCAAGTTCATGTAAAAATGTTTTCAACTAAGTGAGCTCACAAGTAGTGTGGCCATTCACGGTATTCGGCTTCAGCAATGAAGCGAGCCACAACTGACTATTTCTTGCTCCTCCAAGTCACTAGACTCTTTATGAAAGTACAAAACCTATGCCCTATGGTGGATCATCGATTTGAAGGAAAACCTGCCCAATTCGCATCCGTGTAATCCTCAATGCAAAGATGCCCATAAGAGCGGTAAAGCAGGCCATGACCTGGAGCACCCTTGAGATACTTCAAAATTCGTATAATTGCCTCCATGTGGGGGACCCTCGAGTTGCTCATAAATTGACTTACAACACTGACAGCATAGGAGATGCCTGGACGAGTGATCGTTAAGTAAATGAGTTCACTTATAGTTCAACACACTCACAAACTTTCCATAATATTGTGATAGTTAATTATGAGTTGTTCATTCAGCTAATCACATTCACATACTTTCCATATTCACACATTTTCCATACTTGTACTTTCCTTTTCTTATTATTTCTCTATACCTATATATACATGTTGTAACAATAGGAGATGATATGAAATATACATAATTCTTGTATTCACAAATCCCTAGTCCTGGTATCATTTTCAACATGGTATCAGGGGTATCAGAGCAGGTTTATCATACCTTACTCTAGATTCTTTCGGCTCTCCCCCTCTCGGTCAAATTTTGTGATTGAATCTACTTGTCTCGAATATCAATATTATTGGTAATTTGTCACATTCGGATCAAGTGTTTGGGATCGTGTTCTTCACTCTTGCAGACCCTACTTATAGTTCATTCAATAAAAATTTGTCTCGACAACTTTGTATTTTTTTTCAAGTTGGTACACTAGAGTTAAAATTTCCGTATGTGAACTTGAGGGGGAGTGTTAGAGAATATCGTTAGCAGTGATTTATGTCTATGATAGAATATTGATTGGAATGATTTATGCAATTGATTTTAGGAATCTTTCCATCAATATATTTTTCATATTTATCACATGTTTGTATCTTTCACCTATTTGTAAACAAAACTAAAAGAGAATATAATAAAAAACATGTAGCCCTTTGGGCTTTGTGTGCCGTGGATGTCGGCCAAAGTGGCCGAACCATGTTATATTCTTGTGTTGTTCATGCTTAATTTCTCTCTTCAATCTTTTGTTTTGTCAACACAAACTATCCCATCTAAATCCCATAATTAGTCACCTAGTCTCTCGTCACTATCCATGGATTCTTGGCTTTCATGACCTGCGTATATATGTTAATCTCACTCATGATATATTCGACAAGTACAACTAATGGCTGCTTCTAGACAAGATATTTAAGGATTGTTTGGTTCAATTCCTTATAAATATTTTTCGAGAGCTCTAGAATATATATATATATATATGTGTGTGTGTGTGTGTGTGTGTGTGTGTGTGTGTATACATATATTATATTTTTTAAACAAAAAGGAGTTCTTTGAAATTGAGTCTTATTTTTTTTCCTTCTTTTTTCATGAACCAGTTTGTAAGAACAGCATCAACATAATGATTTATTTATTTTTTATTTTTAAAACTAATATATAGCTATTCTAATAAAATTGAACCAAACACAGGCTTTGTTATTTTCTTTACCTTGAAACAATTTGAAATCATCTGTTCCACTTTGACGGTGGAATTGTTTTTAAGTTTGGGGAAATTGACAAAAAGCAAGATTCTGGAATCTAGTTAAATGATTGACAATCTGTTGTTGGTATGTCGTATTGTCATGATTAATGGACAATATATTACGAATTGACATAATAAAGTTGCAGATTGTCAAATGCAATTTGAATTGCCACTTTGTTTTGTACTACTATGTGAAAGTAATCACAACAAACAGTTACACCATTCGTTTGAAATATTGGCACCTCAATAGACATACTAAAAAAAACAAAGAATAATGAAGCTGTACCTTGAATAATATCGGACCTTTTCAATCCAAATGGATCTGCTGTCACATAAAATTATAATTAGAATGCTAAAATGTCAAAAATTGCTCTAATGCATCTGCCTAATATTGATTTTTGTTGACGTAATGCATTTTATATTTTCTTTTAGAAAAATCCACACCCCAATTTTGTATATTACATTTATCAACATGCATTTATAATTATGGACAGTTTGGTGGCACATTGAGCATATGGGGTTCTTACAAATTTCTGCTCTAACACTCTTGTTTTTGCGATATGCTCTGCTCTTTTAGTCCTCCCCCCCCCGCGGGCGAATTCTCTGCTCTTTTGGTGATATACTGAATACTTTTCATGTGTACCAAGACTTCAACTCATGCCAAAAAAAGAATGCTTTTTGGGCAAACCAAAAAGAGTTTTTTGGGCACTTTGTAACTAATCGTTTAAGGAAGTATCAATGAAATAACTTCAATAATACGAAGTCCTCTTATTATTTGGTGAGAGGGTAGGGGAGGGGGAGGGAAAGGGCGGTGGTGGGCTGGTGGCATGCACATGCCAGAAGATAGAGAGAAATGGCAATATTTTTTTTATCAATAATTGCAGAACTGTGAATATTTATGCAACATATGTTTTTTTAATTTTTATTCTAGACTGATATTTGAATGGTCTCCTATTGATTGATAATTTGCGTATGCTCATTGTGATGTTGTGGCCTGAATTTGGTGTCGGGTCACGTTGCGACCCCTTGAATGAGCTTTGTGTGGGCCCAAGTTGTTGATGTGAGTCATTTGGAAAAAAAAATTGACCCGGTTTTTTACTTGCGGGTCGTGGACCATGTTTAGTACTCTCTTGTAACCCGATGTATAAGGGCGCTTAGGGTTTGGTGTGGAAGGATTGAGACAGTGAAAATCGCATAGAATTAGAGTGTGAGCGAGAACTATGGTTTGGGGCTGAAACTTGTAATTTTCTATTTTTCGTATGGTGAAAACTTTTGCCGGATCTCCATGTGGATCTAAACTTTTGCCGAACCATGCTAAATATTTGTGTTCTTTGTCTGTGGTGTGATTACTTTTCTATCGCGTTTCTTGATTTTCTCTTGGGTTCGATGCGTTTGACGTAACACCCATCTTGTCTACAGTATAAACCATGGTTTCACATACCAGTTGTTAATTCATTGCAGCTGTGATTTGATGACTTCAAATTGTGATTTTATCTCGTTAAAAATTGTCAAAATTTCATTGCTAATAATTTACATTCTAGAAATTGTATTTTTATTTTGTGACGATATTTATGTTGTTTCGGTAATCATTTGTTATCAATCGCGATGTCATGTAGCCTATAACATGTTTAAATTCCCGTTTGCTATAATGATGTTGTTGTTGTTATTATTAGAGTAAATTACACGGACCTCCCCTATGGTTTGCCATAATTACTGGGACCTACCTTATAGTTTGGGAAATTACTCGGATCTCCCCTAAAAATGAAACTAACCTACACGGACCTTCCTTCCCAGTGACGGACCGTTAAATGCACTAACGGACCTATCTAAATTACTAAAATATACTCATGTTGCTATGGTAAATGACTAAAGTACCCATTATGTGTGTGTATATATATATTATATACTTAAATTATGTAAAACATGTGAAACAGTAGAGTCTTTCATTTATCCAATTATTGTAGTTCTTTAGAGTGACGTGGCCCAATTCTTGCTACTTTCTTTAGTTCTTTACACACAAATATATACATATTACACGCGCGCGCGCGCACACACATATATATGTATATAAAAGTAAAGCTCTGATGCCGCCGTGGAAGAAAAGCTCATGTGCCCAGATTGGTGGGTTGCGACAATCGTGGGTTCAATTTGGCTCCTTGACCTCACAGCGGAGGACGGCGGCTCTCTGTCGCTCTGTGTCATCATCGACATCTTCTTCGGCTAGAACGCTAAAGTCACACACGCGAGTTGGGTTGAGCAAGCCTGGTGAATGAAAAAAAAAAAAAAAACTACTAATTTTCTTCAGAAAATTGCTTTATACCATTGAATTGGTGATCGAATTCAAATTTTCCTTTTTTTTATTTTTATATCGGCAATACAGAGTAGGGATCTGTATATCGGTTGAATCTCATCTGTTTACCGATCGAATTTTATTTCTCTTTTGGTTTTAATTAGGATTCGTAGCAAGTTGCTACGAATTGGGGTTGAAATTGAGCCTAAGGGATAAAATCATCGATCCAGATTTGCACAACAATTAGCCGAAACTACGAGTGGTGATTTTAATTGTCTTTATTTGAAGTTTGATGTCAATTAGGGTTTTGTTGATTGAGAAATCGAAGTTGTTGATTTCAATGGCTGGGTTTTGCTGATAAAGAGAATGATTTTTAAACAGACGCTGAAACTCGAAATACTGAACCTCAAGCAGTGCTATTGTTCATCCATTGAAAACCCAACTTTCGGTTCAGTTGGGTCATCTCTGAAGCTTCTAATTTGGTCTTCGTTTGATCTTCTAAAACTCACTGAAAATTAGTCGCCTGAGGTTCTGTGCACTTGCCGGCGTCTATGGATATTAAAGTTCTATGCACTTTCCCGTTTGGTTGTTGCTCTGAATTTTATCGGCTCTCAAAACTCTCTCTGTTGTTCGTTGCGTGAATGTATGGGTATGGGGTTGAATCGTGAAGAAAATCTCTTTCTCTGTAAAAGTTCTCTCTATATATGTTTGTATTATTGGGTTAGATTGCATTTGGGGTTCATCTCAAGGTTCAAAATTCCCTTTGTGCAAATAAACATACGTGTTATACAAGGTCTATATATATCATTTGGGAACATTATATATATATATATATATGATAGGGATAGGGGTATTATGGACATTTTATTTAATTAAGTGGATGACAAAATCCGTCATTGATTGGCGTTGACCCTCACAGAAGGGAGGTCCGTGTAGGATAGTTTCATTTTTAGGGGAGGTCCGGTTAATTTACCCTTATTATTATATTGTCATTTTACTTGTATGGTATTGATATAGCTTGATTAAATATCGTCCGTCTTGTAGCTTATTTAACTTTCATTATAGGAATCTTAATGTTGCTGAGGATGATGATCTACGCAAGAATGCGGACGAAGATAGTGGGGCCATAGTTTCAGGTCTCCAGTGTAAGATTGTGGTCCAGTTCGAGAAACACAGTGATTTTTATAATGCCTTGAAGGTTTTATGTGGCCGATCATTGCAAAAGGTAGCTGGTTTTCTCATTTTTGAGTTTCTATTTATTTATTTATTATTATTATTAAATTCTGTACTCCTCTGTAATTCTATCATTTGTTTTGGTTAGAATTACTGTGGGACCCCCTCTTCCCCTCCCTCTATATCTTCTAAGGGGACACCGGACATTTATGTACAGTAGTGTATAACACAGCAATTGGACACCAGGGGAGAGATGATCTTTTACAGAAAAATTACAATCTGTTGATTTGAGTTATTTGGATGGCATCCTTGAGCACAATTAAAATTTTCATTAGAGTGACAGGATGAGATGAAATGTTTTGGAAGTAGTTTGTTTACATGGACCTTGTACATGGGACCAATTTATTGTTTGCTTTGGATTTTTAAAAACAAGGCACATTTCAAGAAGCTAGACTTTCTATTCTCTTCTGAAGAATGAATATTCAAGGTTTCCTTCTGTGTTAGTGGCAGTTGAAGTTGTATTTGAGTTTTCTATCGCCTGTATGATGCATTCTGGTGCATTGTTTCCGTTATGTTTCTTCCCCAAATCGGTCACACTCCTTAGTAGTATTCATATACACTGTTGATTTGGTTGTTGTTCACTTGTATGGTTCATGTTGCTGGAACCTTGTGGCCTTTCTGTTTGATGATTTGTTAATATGTGATTGAGTGAACAAGAAAACTCGACTGAACAAAAGCCTTGTCGCAATTTTTTGGTGTTGGCTGCATTGATCCTGTTTAATACCGTGTTTAGGGCCATAATCAATAAATGAAAAAGAATGTAAGTTCCAGTTAGAAATTTTACCGGTATGCCAGCCGCCTTGGAAGAAATTGCATTTATATTTGGTGCAGCCTGCTATTGGCTAGCTGTGGCAACAGATTTATCTTTTAAATATATGACTTAGGTGGCTAAGTTCTTTGTTTTATTCTGGTTCCTTTCACATGACAACACACTTGGATTGTGATTATGCAGGATGGATCGCGTTTCAGGGCTGATTATGAGGTGACTTGGGACAAGGATGGGTATTTTCGAAATACTAGAAGTCATACACATGAAGAGAGCAGCCGGATGCCAGCAACAAGTGCTGGATATTATAGAAGTGAAGCTCCCAGACGACGACCTCACATTTCTCGGTTTAGTCCGGACAATGAACCGCCAAAGAGGTTCAAGCTGAATAAATAGCAAAAGTAAATGATACACATGCAATGATAGGATTCAGCACATTTGTTGTAAAAATAGCTCATTACCTAATGTTATTGATATTCTTCAATTTGTTCAGTAAAATGAATTTTTTTTAAAAAAAAAAAAAAAAAAAAAAAAATCATTTTACTAACTGAAACGAAGTGTTCTTATATGCAGCTGCTGCTTGTATTTGTTTCTTTTGTGCATCAGTTTGACCATTGTATCACTGTAGGCGCTGCATGTGATCAAACTGAAATTTCATTTCTGGTTGAAGCATCATTAGATTATGAAACTGAGTCCATGTCTATCTGGTGAATCATCATCGGTTTGACCATTCTATTTCATATTTGGAATTGTCAGATTGTGAAGCATCATCTGTTTGAACATTTCTGTGTCATATTTGGAATTGTCAGATTGTGAAGCATCATCAGTTTGAAGTCATGTTTGAAAATGTTAGATATGTTTTATAGATAGTGTTGGTTAATCATTAGGAAGTAATCAGTTATCTTTGGGTTTGGTAGGAAGAAGTGGGGTGATGGAAGGATAGGAAGGAAGAAATAAATTTCCTCTCATTTGGTAGAGAGGAGCCGGGGAGGAAAGAGAAAATAGGATGGACGACTCATTTCACTGCGTCACAAATTTTCATCCGTCCATATCTAATATTTGTGATCTATCTCATCCCTCCTTTCTTACAAACGATGTAAGGTGTCATCTCATTCCCTTCTCATCTAACCAAATAAAAAGAGGAAAGGACCCCTTTCCTCTCATCCATCCCTTCTTTTCTTTCTTCTATCCATTTTTCTCACTCCCTACCAAACAGGAGCATTAGTCAGCGTGGCAGGTGAAAATTATCAGAGACATAGTTTTCCCATTGAATTCATTTTGTTATATTTCTTGGCTACAATTTTAGGTATGGGGTTGAATTTACAGGGGCATGAGAAATACCCAGCAAAATTTCATAGTTGGGTATGACTGGTATAGTCCATTAGTCTGTATCATAAACAGAAGGGTAATATAATTTTTAACAAAATCAATTAAAAATCTCTTCGATCTAATCATACCATTTCAATATGTATTCAAGACAATATCTTTCAAACCAAAGGAAATTTGTGGTGGATTATTAATAAGCTTAAAATTGATTCTTCTTAAGAAAAGAAACATAATTCAATTATTCGTTTTAGGCAATGCATAATCATGGAATTGCCAGTTTGCCACTAATATTTTAGTGTGCACATGAATCATTCATGTTTGAAAGTTGAAACCTAATTGCGTATGGTTTGAGTCGCTCTCATGCGGGGCGCAGCCAAGATTTCAATTCAGAGGGCATAGTGCAAAAATAAATCAATCCGAACTACTACTAATCGCATATGGTTTGAGTCGCTTTCATAGATCAATAATTTGGTTTTGGTTTCAAAATTAGTGGAATTATTAGGATGGATTTAGTTCACATTTTAAATGTCACAATAACCCAACTAATTCAAACCAAATCCAACATATTAATAAAATTATAGTTCTTCTTAACAAAAAAAAAAATAGTATTCTAGTTTTTTTGTTAGTAGTGTATACACATTATTGTTCATCAGGGGCAAAAATTAACAAAAAAAAAAATAGTATTCTAGTTTTTTTGTTAGTAGTGTATACACATTATTGTTCATCAGGGGCAAAAATTACGAAGTGCTCTTTAAAAATTACCAAAGGTGTAGAAGTCTTGATGCAACTTTATTGTTCACCGTGTCACCCTTGATATGAAATTCTGCCTCCGTTCTTGATTATTGCTGCGTTACTAACATATTTTAGAAACAAAAAATGTAATATTAAGTTGACAAATAGAAAAAAATATTATATTTAGGTCATAAAAGTTAGGTTTAAGTTAGGCTTAGAATAGACATGCTATCAACCAAAAAAACTCTCATCCCATTTAAATGCATGTTGGTTCCGGACACCTGATTTGCGGCTCTTAGCACAACAATTCCTAGAAGTTAGAAATGTCTATTATTAGAAAATGTCATGTGACTCGTGTCTCTCCAACTTAGAAGATTCTAAAGTCCTTGTACTGTTTGGTATGTGGGATAAAAAATTGAAAGAATAGAATGGATTGTTAGACAAATAGAAAAGGGAATTTGTCTTTTAATCATATTGGTCCATCCATTCTATAATGCCTTAACCAAATCAACCTAACAGAATGTTTTTGTTAAAATTAACTTTGTCACAAAAAATGAACGAACTCTATGCACAAGACTCTCATTATTGTGGGATCTGTACGTGAATAGGCTATTTTTTTTATTTCAAAGTCATAACTTTCAGATCACAATGGAGCCAGTTACCGTTACGCTAATACAAATTTTACTCCAATTCTAGCCTTGATAGGCGGTTGCGAGATACAGCTTATACCCCGTTCGGTATCTATATTACTCAATCCTCTGCAAAATGATAGAATCGTAGCAAAGAGTCCTTGAGATATTCCAGGGACCCTCTCTAATCACAAGAGAAGAAGCAGATTATTCCAGCTTGTACTTATGTTGAGTTTGGGGATATCAAATTTGACCTTGAATTTTTTTTTTTTGCTCACATGGCCTGCCGCCCTAGATTGTTTCAAACCCTCATCATATTAGAAGAGTTTCTTGACATATGTTTGGAGGCTGCATATTTCAAAGAATGGAATGTACATCATCAACTTATATCCACCTAATTCATTTCAATTACTTATTATCATTTTCTATAACATAAAGGGTTATTGCAATGCCATTTACATTTGTTTAAAATCAACACACAATCATGCAAATCGCAACCACTATTTCCCAAAAAAATGTTTAACAAAACCACTTAAATACATAGCTTGTTTTTTTTTCTAAACATCACATAATGCTTTCTGCACCAACTCAACCCACAGTGCCACTATTTACATTGATGAACATGTCAAAGAGATTGAATTTTCAACCCAACCCCAACATATTCAGCAACCAAAAAAAAATCAAAAAATAAAATAAAAAAACCAAAACTATGAACACATCAAGAGAAAAACCTTACCCCAAAAATAATTTAAAAAAATATATATATATATGTGCACAAGAAAGCATGCATTTAATTAGGGATCATCTTCACCAACTCTTGCGGTGGCCGTGGTCTCTAGGTGAAAAGTCCGAAATGACACTTCTAGGAGAAGATAATCCATCATTTCTTATCTTGTTCTCACTCAATTTTCTCACGTACTCTTTCTTCTTTCTTGGCCTTTTCGGATTCGAGCTACCCATTTTGATGGTAGGCACCAGGTACCACCCTATAGATGTACACAAAATGGCAAATGACCTCCCAAACATGGCCAAACACAGCAGAATCAGCAATATGATCACCGGCAAGTAATAAGAAGGCCGCCTCCAATTCTCGAGCTTCAAATTCTTCCATGTCAACCTCTTCTTCTTCGTCCCTTGATACGCAGTCGGTCCTTGGACTTCGTTTTCAATCGCGCAGTACTGATCCGTTGCCTCCGAATCTTGTGTCATGGGCTTGTCTTTGGTGTCTTCAACATTGATTCTGTCTGGTTTTTTGCTGTCTCTCATCTTCACGACAATCGGCTTGCAGTCGTTGGAGCTCGAGTACACGAAACGGACGAAGGAGATGTCCTGCGCGCCCATCTCTGTGTATATCTTCTGCTTCTTGTCTTCGAGGTCAGCTAGGAGCGCAGAGAACTTGTCCAGGCCGCGATTCGAATACGGGTTCTTGCTGTCTCTTGCTGCTTTTCTTGATCTCCTCGTTGGCGAGTTCGGGCTGCAGGGCAGCTCATCATCTTCTTCTAGCTGATGATGAAAGCTGCCGCAAAAGAAAGGACTGAACATCTGAGAATTGAAAGTGAATATTTGGAATTCTACAGACACAAAAAAAGAGGGTTTTTGTTTTGAGATTGTTTTGGGATTGTGTTTTGGAAAAGACTATGGTAAGAATGAAATGAGAGAGGGGGGCTCAAAGTCCTTAAAAAGAGTCTATTACTCTGTTTGGAAGACTCAGATCTAAGGCAAGAATAGTCAAATGAATGGCTTGAAAAACAAAGGCCTGAATGGAAGTTTCTTAAATGGATTCATGTGATGATTTCATGGGTTGATTTTGACTTCTTGGGGAGGAGGTTAATTAAACAGTGGGACCCACCCTTGACGATATGAAATGGATATTTGATGTAAGGGTTGTAAGAATAATATGGTTTCTTGGAGGAGGAGGAGAGATTTGAATTGGTCCGGTGATTCTAATCTCTTTATTATTGACTTTTATATATATATATAAAAGACATATGGTGCACAATTTATGATTAAAATAGTTGATGATTAATATAACTTCTAGATGGTCACTAGTTGAAGGGCCATAAGGGTCTGTTTCGTGGTAAATAAAACGTGCATTCTGGATAAAACATATATCTTAGCAGGATTGAAGTTAACATCAATATAGAGAATCAGATGTTGTACCCCTCTCTCTCCCTCAACATATATATCTATACTATCACCATCTGATTTTTTTTTTTTTTTTTACAAAATCACCATCTTATTAATTGTTTGTTGCAGCTATTAATCAACTCTCAAAAGAATATTTGATTGTTTGTTGCAGTGTTGAAAATAATGTCTAATTTTACAATTGACACACATCTAATCTTGGTGTTTTGGGACCTAGTCATAGTTATTGTCATCAAATGAAATATTTTTAATATTTCCTAGCAATCATTAAAAAGATTGCATTTTCAAAATTTTAATGATATATTTGAATGAATTATTGATTTGAAAGAAAGTGGTTTAATATTTAAACAAAATATTTACTATTGGAGTTGGACTAGGAGGTTTAATGGACTACTCTTATTTAATGCATATAGTTGAAATGTAAAGCTAAACTATTGAAATAAGAACTTTAGTTATACTCCTTGAATAACATAAATGATCTCTTGTTCACGGTAATTATCGTTTTTCACTTCATATTTAACAGATATCATATTTGGTGTGTGTTAAAATTGGATGTGGAAATAATAAATGTAAATAGAAAAAGGGAAGAGAGAAAAATAGAGAACACAGTTATATACATGGTTCGACATTAAGACCTATATTTATGGATAAGAAACATTAAGGCCTATATTTATGGATAAAGAAACACTAAAGAACTTTACAGGATTCTACCAGAACCCTAACACAACGCCCCAAGTTTCCAAAGACAAGGGAGAGTAATTAATTGCACCAACACAATTAATTACACAAAGCCGCTCACATCCCAATTGTAGCTCGTAAGAGCTAACCAAGGCAACACAAGAAGAATTCTAGGTTAACGCACCTATCCAAATCCCGACACCATCGCCCTAAGGAGGCAAGACACAAGAACCTCGCCTTGAGGCTCACAAGAAACTTCCCAACTCCTAAATGAAGGATTCGAGTCAATCCTGACTCATCATCCCATGATGCTAGAAACAAAGACCTCAATGACATCACGATGTCAAGACTACTACGAAGTCCTAAGGGATGACACCGACACCTCCAACACCACCGTGACTACGTCATAAAAAGACAAAGGAAAATGAGACGAAACGGTGCCTCCGTGGCTTACGTCTCATCTCGCCAAAAAGGAGACTACAACACCATGCTCATCCGAGCCCTAATGAGAAGACTCTCCGTGAGTCAAGATTGTGACGCTATATGCGTGAAAAAGAAACGAGATCAATAATAACACGAGTTATTATAATCGAATGCAATTCGCTCAATGAATACATCAAATAATTACCACGTCAATGTATGCAACATATAGTCATGCATAAGCAGATAAGCATATACAACATGCTAAACAGATAATGAAAACTCCTAGGTACTTAAACACATAAACACGTATCAAACGATGATGCTTTTAACCACATAAGCATATAAGTGCAGAAAACATGTCATCACACCGAGCATGTTATCAAATGGCACGTAAACATGTTATCAAAAAGCATGTGAACATATCAAAGTACATCAACAAAACATGATATGCACCCAATACCCGTCATCCAAGGTATTCGAACTCGGACGCTTTGATACCACTTGTGACGGCCCAAGTTTTTCAACCCAGTACGTCAGTGATGAACCGAAAGATAACCCGACAACGGATCCGAAATGCGGAAGTAAAAGACAAAACAAAGGTCTCTAGAGATACAACATGGCTCTAAGACACTATTATGACCCTCAACGAGGTCACGGAACCCAAATGAATCAAATGCAGAAGCAACGTTTTCAAAAACGAACAAAAATGAACCTAGGGGCAAAAATGTCATTTTCAGCTTAAAAGTGGGTATCACCGAGCACACCATTGGAAAGACAATGAAAAATTAATGAATTTAGACTCTAGAATCACTTGATTCGGAGCCCGAATGAAGAAGATATGGCTAACGGAAGAAGAAGGGACAAAACGGTCAAAAGTGCCAACCCATGAGCATCTAACCGGTTAGGAGACCTTCTTAACCGGTTAAGAGGCCAAAAATCTAGCCAAAAACACTGCCCATGCACATGTAACCGGTTACCAAACTCCTCGTAACCGTTTACATGTGAAGAGGGCTGTAAGGTGCAACCTAAAAACCTGGCAGCAGGGATTTTTCCGGGAAAAATAAAAATTTGAGGGCTAAGATGACATTTTCTGGAAAAAATTAAAGAAAAAACTCCCCTCAAAATCGAGTTTTTTACGTGACTACCAAGAAAAATTGAAAAATACGCATTGTGAAATGCCCAAAATGCCCTCCCAAGAAAACTGGTCCAGAGGGTGCAAAAAGCTGCTAAATGGAAAAACAGAAGCTGAATTTCGGAAATGGTTTCCGATGCCAAGACGACATTTTTCGGAAAAACACAAAGAAGAAACCCCACCTAAAATCATATTTTCTAAGTGACCATATAAAGAACGGAATTTATTTCCTAAAGGAGATTCCCAAAATACCCTTAGATCAAAATGTGCAACAAAAATATAAAATGAGTCCGTAGGAGGCTCATTTCACCAAAGAAGAAACTTTGCCCAGAAACGACCATGCACACAAACGTAACTTACCTAATAAGATGTGCTACAATGGTCTGTGGCTCAAAAATATGGCCGAAGCAAAATATGACCCCCCAACTGCCAAAATGCCAAAAAATGAAGTTCGGAATGAAAACTTGAAACCTAAAATCATGAAATGATTTCGAAATGCCGTTTGGCCCTTGGCCACACTTCATGCATGTTAAATGAATGCTAATGGAAGAAGTTCATACACAATGTACGCTCTGGTGTAAAATAACGTACTAAAACGTATGGTTTTCCATATGTTTTCATTGAAGGCAAAAATTAACATCCATGACATAAATGTAATTTCAAAAGGAGTTTGGCCATTGGCCTCATGTTATATACATAAAATGAGAATCAAAAAGTGTGCTTAGGCTCACATTAAAAGTCTAGAAGCAAATATACACATTTGACATATAAGGTTACAAATGGCCTTTCAAGCCAACCTTTACAAGAATTGAACCCTTCAAGTTCCCAAATCATCCAAGCATGGTGAAAATCTCTAACCTTGAATCCTGTACCTGAAATATGCCCCAGTATCGTAGGAGTGAGTAACATAAAGCTACTCGTAGGAAATGAGCATGCATCGACCTACGTTTTACAAGTTTGTATGATTAATTATTGTAGTTCATTCCACCTAACGTCTATGTCAAAGGTGAGACTCAAGGAACATCCTAGCTACCTAAGATCATTTCTAGCATCAATCACCTCATTCATGCAATTTTAGCAATATAGGGTCATGCTTATACAAAGCAACAACATAGAGGCATGCTTACACCAATCAACAACATAGGAACATGCTTACACAAAGCAACAAATATAGATTTTCAAAGTCATCAATTTGAAATCTAAAGAACAAAAACGACATAAGTGATCATGCCACCTAACGTCTATGTTCCAAATGAATCTATAGGATCATTCCTACTTTACATTTGAACAACACAACATGAATGTACTTGACAACATTAAAAGCTTATAATGATTCATTAAAATCATAAAAATAAGAATATACTTAACAACATTAAAAGCTCACAATGATTTATTAAAAATGATGAACATGAATGTACTTAACAACATTAAAATGATTTGTTAAAATCATAAAGCATGGATGTACTTGGCAACATTAAAATCTACAAAGATCATAAAGCATGGATGTACTTAACAATATCAAAATCGCCGATAGTCAAAACCACAAGTCATAATATAAACATGATTGCTAACTTGGAATTGAATGCGAAAATAAATAATGGAAGACTTGGACATCTAGATTCGGAATTCTGCCGAGATCAATGGTTGTTCCGGGTATTAACCCGCAGGGAAAACCACCATAAGTGCGCACTATCTCAATTGGGGAAAACTCATCCCGCACTAAAGCCGAACTTTAGTCATATCATAGTAACCATGTCCCAAGTGACTCCCAAAATAAATAAGTTAACAACTTATATATATACGAAACCACATCCCATGCACAAGTAGTTTGTAACCACACAATACATGCTCTAAATCCACAACTACTATAGGATAACAAATGTCGAATCTTCAGAGCGCGATTCGTTACGCGCTATAATAAAATCACATGTCGAATCTTCAGTGTGCGATTCGTTACACGCTATAACAAGATAATCCAATATTGAAACGTAATCTCATAAATTAATTACTAGTCTAAAATCATGCTTTAGATATACAATCAACGTCAAACACATGATTTAAATCCATAATGCAATAGAAACGGAATTTAATCAAGTAAACTAATTAATTCCTCTAAGTTGCAATTCTCAACCAAATGGCCTCAAATTACACATGTTAGCAATATAGCATGGTCATTGCATATACCAATTCCAAAACTTGATTAGGCCAATTGAATAACAAAATGAAATTTAATTAAATCATGATAATCAAATCCCTAAATTCTAAAACAACATAAAATGGTCCTATATTAACATATACTAGTATATAAGTCCTAGTCATCTCAAATATCTAGTCAAAACTTAATTAAGCTAAAGGAACCATTAAA